ACATTCAAATCTACAAATCAAGGAACAATGGTGATTTGTATATCAATCTGAGACGCGCGTTTCATCTTATTTAGGACTTATCAAGGACTGAAATCCAGCACCACTCATTCCCATTTACATTCGGTTATCCACTTATCCAGTCAGTCCATAAACTCAATGACTTGTGAAACTGCTTGAAGCTTTAAATCATTTTTGAATTGCTATTGGATATTCCGATTGATGTTGAGAAACCGTAATTGATTCCACTGCTATTCCTCATCCATCTTTACGCACAATGCTTGTGACTTCTAGCAACATCCAGATAATCCTAACAGAGTGCATATATATGAATAAGGGACTGATCAGTTGCAGTACAAATCACTCATGTGAGGACTGGACCAAAGAATGTAAAATGATAATTATTTTCATTGTTTAAATGACTCAACAATGTACTTAAACCTGTCAATGCAGAACATCTGGCGGAACATTTGACGAACCTTCTCACATTCAATCATAAACAATTTATCTCACCTAATCACGTACACTCAAAATTCCTCTTCAAACTCAGCTTCATCTCTCAACAACACATGTTTATTTCAGTGAAGCAAGACGATTGAACATTTCGTAGACGAAATATCATTTTCAAACTAGCACTGCTTTATTTCTGCTTCATACAAAACACACTTTCTTTTACATTGAGTGTTGAGATGATCAAAGACTGCAAGTTTGATTGTATTACTGTGAGTGTGTGAATACATGAGTGGATATATTTTGAGTTTGATATAGTTATTCATATATCCATATCTGGGTGAGTCTACCGGTAATCCTAACTGTAAGAAGTTCTCAAAATATTTGGACAGTGTGTTTACGAAAATCATTCCAATTCCATTCTGCACAATGAGCCACAACACTTAAATGACATTTCCACGAACTGACTTTACGTAAGAAGCAACTGAATAATAATCACTGTTTGAAAGCTCTCTCTGATAAGATACATGGATTTTGTTCATTAACATGCTCATGACCTGGTACAAGTAGAGAGTAATATAAAACTAACTGGTGATTAATGATGTACGTCACCGTACATCAAAGAGTTAACGAGATTCGGCCATCTTAAACATCTGGGCTACCTGTTCCCGTCATCTAGATACTTCAAAATGTTATCTAAATTTGTTTGTTTTAATACATCATTATGCCTAGTAATCGCACAACCTATTCAGGTGCATTTCTGAAAAGAGTAAGACCATTCTCTGTAACGGTTGCAGAAGGCAATATGCAGCGAGATGAATGTACATTATCCAGATGTCGATTGACTGTGCTGTAAACGTCTAAGTGGTGATCACTAAATATTTATCGTCAAGAAGGACGAAGAAGTAAGAAACGGAAACTCGCTGAAGTACATTGTGCTGAAAATTCTATTTTGTACCGAAAAATATAATATTGAATAAAGCTAATAATAATAATAGTAATAATTCGCTGAAATTTTTCTTACCTCCTTCACAAAGTATTACTCCAAGGATTTTCGATTGCAACTTACTTCCATCAATTTCCTTAGGAATCTGAAAAAAGATTGTTGAATGTCTGAGACAAGATATGCTACCGCACAATCATTTATATGAAATCGAATGATTACTGGAGAAATGTATCATCATTTAGATCATCTCATTAAAAGCCAACTAATCGCACTCACACTAGGCATACTGATATTCTCAGTTTACTTTCCATGAATGTTCCATCCAATCTGTATAGATATTCTTGTCAACTTCGGTCAAGTGTTATGAACTATCTCTCCATCATGATATATGGCGATAACTTGTGAAATGAATATCACCGTCTATTGAAATGAAATGAGATTGTGAATATTTGACAGGATGCTGCACTCAGGATATTCCACAGTGAACATTCTGAACAGTCGATCGTCACTACATGAAATAAAACTCAACAGAATATGACTCTTTCCGTATAGTAGGCAAACATTCACAGCCAGTTACTATTTGGCACGAACAGGTTATTGTTTCTTCTGAAAGAACGTTTCTTCTGATTATTCACTGTTCATACCACTTGCTTGATTAGTGTCACTAGAGGATTGATAATAGTGTCAACTAGTCCGCTTGTCTATTACACAATGTTGATGTCTTTCTATCGTGTTCAGTGTAACTAGATTCATTTGACAATATTGATCAACATGAAATAGTTGAATGAAGTGAATTACTTGAAACAATATCACATTTTCACTAAATCATGCAACTCACGTTATCATAATAGAACGATACTTTCCCATTTGGGTGTATTAAAGTCGTCATTGTGGCTGTAACATCTACAGTAAGAAGAACATTGATACTCAGGATTTAGGATTTAAACGATGGGCAGGTTATTGTTTGATGTAACACTGTGGACAGAATTCAGTGGATATTAATTGTGTTATCTGAAATGCTCTCTTCAGATGGATTGATAATAAATACATTGAAGTGAACGTCATTGAAATGAGACGGACATGAATCCCTTCTAACAAATGTCAAATGCCTAGATTCTGAAGTTGTACTACTACTATGGAAACAATAAATCGTCTACTTTACCATCAGGGATCTGATAGTCAGGGATGTAATAGCATTCGTACAATATCCTAAATAATTCAATTTGAAACAATGGACACTGAGTACGCATGACATGATCTTAGGAGTGTTTGTCTACATATTGAACTTGAAAAATAAATTGGTGGTATATATATAAAGATTTCTATTGGTTAACTGATTCTGACTTCAGTGTCCATTTGTTGTAGATGAGAAACGAATAGCTTTAGATAACGATTTTTCAGTTTGCAACGTCAATATTTGGGAATGACTATGCAATGAAAGGATGTGTAGATGAATATAATGAGTGCAGCAATCGCTTTGTCACCAATGTAGAACACAATTCATTTATTTTGGAACACAGACTGTTTATCAAGTTTCCCTTAACCCTGAAATGATAATAAATCTCTGCATTCATTTTCCAACAAGCAGAATGAGATTGTGACTTTAATTATGCATGATGACTTATTTATTGCCTGACAAATCCAGTCATTCACAGTTCATTTTAACTGTTCTCCAAGTTTTAATGGATGTACTCAATTAGTGAGTGAATTTCACATTCAATTCTACCAGAATAGAAGCACCTTCATTCTTTTGTTAGTATTTTGAAAGGTTGGATTTTTTTAAAATGAACAGACAAAGGATCAGTGATCACAATGAGTGAAGACGTAAGTGTAAAAGTTTCACGCGTGTGATCAAACGATCGATCAATGTTTACTCACCTGTACCATTAACGTTTATCGAAAAATTCCTTTGGACTCCTAATAATTCATCTGAAATAATGAAAATCAAAAGGGATGTTTATAAATCTGAATAATGATTATCTATCTCTTTCAATAAATATACATTTTAACAAGGACTGCCGACTTATGCAAGTTGTCGTCTCCATTTACAGGTTTAAATGAACCGGAGTAGGCGAAAGCTAAATCATCTCTCATGAGAAAGGTCCAAAGAATATTATCAATTCAACAACATGATAAACGTTTCAACACAATCAACTGAGAAGAATATTTCACTTCTTTAAAATTCCTTCTAGAAGCTTCTGACTGAATAATAGACGTTTAATAGGTATTCGATAATACAACAACAAAGTGTATTTTGGATCCCGTTATTCATCAATTCTTATGTAGGACCGAAATAAATAAATGTCACATTGATGTTTTAAGTGTTCTGGTATGAGTAAATCATCTTGTACTATCGGACTGTTCAAGCACGTTCATTGGTCAGCTGTTTCACGAAGTGCATGGATCCGAAATGCACAATCATACAAATACGATCACAAAAATAGTCTTGAATAACCGAATAATAACACACTGCCACTCCGAGACATTAAACATTCAAGAATCAAGTAAGTGCTATAAAAGGTCTAGTGGACTTCAAATATAACTTGATAATTCATAGGCTTCAATAATCCAAACCGCCTTCTGTCACAACATAGCTTACTATTGCACAAGTGATCACTTTTATTCATTCAGTCTACCATGAAGTATCGTGTAGATGCGATATCTTCTGTTTTGTAGATTTCATAGACTGGAGGGTTGGTAATTTTTACACTTTCGCAATTATATCACATGGTTTATCATTTCTATTCGATGAAATTGTATAATTTCAGGTAGATCTCTGTTTAATTTACCAATTTCACTTTACAGCATTCAACAACTGCTGCGATACACACACGTTCTGTTTCAAAAACAACACAAACACAACAATCACTTTGTATTGGTTACCACTCCTGTAATCATTAAGATAAATACTGAATCTTTTATACAAAATAAGTGTGAGAAAAGTGATCAAAACAAAGAATAACTGAATAATATAAGAACTCACTCTCATCCAAAAACCAAGATTCAGACTTCTTATAGTTTTTTATGAAATTAAAAATATTTCCAATGCGAAACTCTTCAAATTTAAGTAAATCTTCTCTATCTATTGGATGAAAACATGCCACATCATTGATAAATTTGTAATGAATGAATAAACAATTTCAAATAATAAAACTGAACTGTATTTGGTTTGCAATAAAGAGTCAAACCATGTTGAACAATGAAGAAAAATTATTGAAAGAAGTTTTGCATGTTACAAGGAGCACAAAACTGATTCACTGAAGAAAATAGAATCAACTTTGATTCATGATCAGAAATTGGATCAACAAAACTCAATAATAATTTGAATTCAAAGAAAATTTATGACTTACCACTGTCGTAAAAATGAATTTTTTTTACGTGACTACCGTAAAAACTAAACGAGAATTGAGGATAACGGTCCTAAAATGTTGCAAACATATGGAAAAATATTTTTATTATAATGTGTATTCAACTCACGCTTATGCCAAATATCTCATTATTAAAACGGTCACTCGGAACTGCTTGAGATTGATAACGTTGAATCCTCATTGAATAGTAATAATGAAGAGACTGAAATATGTCTATTAGAATGTATCTGATTACTTACATAATGATATGTGTCATTTTCAATAATGACATTCTCATAGTTGAGCAAATCAGGGTTTTTGCAGATGTCGTTGCAGTTGAAACGTTTGTAAGGCCAAAGGAAGATAAGATAAATTAGTATCCATAGACTAGGCGAAAAGTTATATCTAAAATGATCACGATGAACAGATCAACGGTATATCATGGAGTCGAATTTCAATTTGAATTCGTATGTTCATTCAACACTTACCTCATCTTATCGTGTCAAGTTATAATTCAAATTCTTATAGAATTTGTCGGGTTTATATAGACTTTTGAAGTGTAAAGTTATTCTCTTCTGATTCGATGATTCAAAGTAACCATTAGAATGATCGAATTTAATAACATCAGATGTTCATTATAAACCAATCATGGAGGTATATCACATTATCGTTAACCAATATTCTTTTGGCTGTTGAAATCATGAGCTGAAATTTATTCACTGTTGACTGAAATTCCTGACACCTGTGGATAAAACTTCTCTTCCATGTGATAGACGATATTCTGAAATGGGTGATTGGTTAAATTATAGTTCAAAATGTGTGCTCATATGTTTACGAACAAACAACTTGTTGTCTGTAATCATGTATTGATTATTCGTCAACGATGAGTTGTTTTGATTTGATCGGGTAAAATCAAAGTAGCACAAATTAATTTGATTGGATGGTAACAAATATGAATTTTGTTACAATAAGCACATTTTGTTAAACGATTTCACCGTCGTTTTTTTAATAAAATTGTAACTTCTGAACAATGTCACATCCATTGTATTTGTATACCACATTATAACCCTGACTGTCAATAGATGTCTAGATCAATAAGGATAATGATTTCCCTATTGAGTACATTGAAATAGAATCCATTGTACTAAATTTCATAGATTCAGTTCTCAAATCATTGTAATCAGAGGAATATAATGCATTCCTCTGAAAGTGAACTGTTAAAAGTGCAGAACGATTTCTTATACCAGACACATTCGAAACTATAACATTGATCATTGTATCTGAAAACTAACATGATTGTTAATACTCAAATAGAAGACTGATTTTCACCTGTGTGTGTTTCAATGTTCTATTCCCTCACATCAGTTGAGCTTGTATTTTATATCATCTGTGTTCAGATATAGAAGAAAATCACAGTGATAAGATAATGTCAAGTGTATACTTAACTTACACTAAACATTGAATACTGACGAATGAATAAAATTCTACGCATTCATAACTGAATAATAATTTTGGTGAAATAAGTCAGGAATGTTTGTTTTTGCGTGATATATAAAAATAGTTTCCCTCCTGACACAGTAGAGGTGTATTGGTTTACTTTAGACAGATATGAACACTAATCAAAATGTTGTTACCTTGACAATCACTGTTTGTCGTCGAATAACAAGACTGTTTGGGTAATTTCGTGAATTCATCAACATCAAAATTGTTTTCAGTGGTGCATTGTCAATTCAATGCCATTGACCAATACCTAATTACTAAAGGAAAAGTTATCTGTTCACGTGATAGTGTAAATCAGTTAATCATATTTTGATTTCAAAATCTTCTTACAAACTTTATGTGTGATCAGACTGTTAGGAACCTATTATCTCAATGATTATTTCCATAAGTTATTATCATTGATCGAATGACATTGGCAGTATAGTGAATTATTTGAAGGACTTAACGAAATTAGGCAAGTGGATGTGAGGTTCTGTACTTTATACTAAGATGTTCGTTATACTTTCCTTGGTTAGCTGATATCGTTCAGCTTCATAGGTTGTTCTAACTGTTTGAATGAAATAATCGGAATAATGCTGAGATATCTAGACAATGACACGTTAGGTGTTTACTTATCATATAATTGACACACGCAGAAACATACACACTCTAATTAACACTCAACCCCTTCTTACTTCAAATGCAACGATTGAGAATTTCATATGCTCATACAATCACAGAGAATGATGTGATGATGACGCTTGCCGAATAATGTCGATATAAAAGACATGACACTGACATGATCAGACGTATTGCCACTTTAATTGATCTACGTTTTCAACCTTGGTAACTCGTAGCACTCGGAGATATAGCTAATATAGTATGAGCATTGAGAGGACATATCATTTCATTATTATTAAGTTTCATTTCGATTAACTGAATATTGAATAATGATTGGAGTTATTTATTGTGGTTAGGTGGACGCCATCAGATTCTACGGTATGTCGAACCCATTTTAAATCATCCTCTGATGTTCAAATTCGTATTGATTTTGCAACAGAATTGAAATGGATTTCCTCGTCACTAAGCATTCGTACATGAATATTTATTTAGCTAGCCAACTATGCCTGTCTCAATAATTTCGAATTCAATTATTAATTTAATATTATTGACAAGATATTTTGATTGAAATAGAGAATTTTCGTTGCCTGAATTTTGTTGGCATATAATCGGTGAAGCGAGGTTTCATGGTGGTGGGTACAAGTGAGTGTAGTGCAGACTCACTACGGAAAAAACCTATACACCTCGTGTGATTCAAAGTCCTTTCACTCCTACTTGCAATATCAGCATTAACTACTTCGCCACACGAACCGTAGATGACCTCTTTAAGGACAGATATGTTCATGTTTATTGATTAAAGCGCACATATAGATGTCATGTCTGTCTAGTAATTGAGTTCACATTGAACACTGTGCAATTTTTACTCCCATATAATTGCATTACGCACAAACATGCACACTAATAATCAAACTCCAATCCTTCTGATCACAAATGCAACATTTAACTGACAATCCAGCACAGACAATCACACAGTATGAACTGATGAAGACTCGAACAGAATATTGATGTGTGATATCAGTTCAATAATGGTTATCAATGATTGTTCGTTCTGTTGCTTGTTTGTATTTCGTATTCTCTATTTCGATTCACTGAACAATCATCTTTTACATCTAAAAATCATTAGACATCAAGAAGAGGGTGACAGTATATTGAAAGTATATTTGAAGTGATTGAGAAACAATCTCTGTTCAACAGAAACATATTATGCTCGATGAACAATATATGTTTTTCAGAAAAGAAAGCCCGCCTCTTTCGTCCTCACGAAACTGTCCACACTGAGTAAAGTTACTTGACGATTCAGTCACCAATATGTGTTTCAAGATCACGTATAATCACCACAACTACTAGTTGGCTTCTTTCAATCTAATATACGTTGCCACATAAGAAACTATTTTTCTAAAAGTAAAAATAATGATAAGAATAGTTTCTATGATGTGATAGTGTGATCTGTCTGTTAACCTTGACCGTTGTTTTTGTTGTTTATCAACTATCATTCATTCTGATTCCGCGTTGTTTATCACCAGATTTCATCTATGATATGACATATTTTTTATTATTACTATTATTATTAATGACTTTATTCAAAACTATAATCTGGTACAATATAGAATTCTCAGCATGAGTTGAAAATAAAGACTGCCTGCTAGAATACCTGAGCTACCTGTTTCTGCCATCTAAATATTCCAACAAGTTATCTAGGTTTTTTTAAATTGTTTTAACTTATCGTTATGTTTATTAATCGCATAACCTATACAGGCGCGTTTATGAAAAGCTCACGTTGTAACGGTAATAAAAATCTTTACATGCAACATTAATAATGTGAGTTTGTATTTCTCATTGCAGGGCAACAAAGAGTGAATGCACTGGAAGAAGAAGATGAACAAGCCCTACGCGGTCTGAACCTGCAGAATAACGAGTAAAACTACTTTGTAATAACTTTCCACTTTTGTACTAAAAATCGCGTTTTTCAATTTCAAATATATCTGCTGCACCAGTACACCGTGTTCTCACTTCAGAGCACTTGTCTGTCCTGTTTGTTGTGTTGCTGTTTCAGGTCGCTCCTTCTCCCAAGTAAACGTCAAAATATAACGTGCTACAACGTCCTTTCGCTGCACAAATCACAAAAAGTACAATAAGTGACATCGTGGTGGTTGGAAATATGCATTAAAGAGAATGAACATTAATCAAATGTCGATTCCTGAGCTGCGTAATTCTAACTGTCAATCTCTAATTAACAAGGTGGACTATCTCCAATTTCTGCTAAGTCAAAACATGTATCGTAGTTTTGGTGTCATCACAATTCAAGAATCTTGGTTAACTAACTAACAGGATGATTGCTTACTATTATTACGTGACTTTAATATCTATCGTCAGGATCGATCAAACAACAAAAAGACCTGTGGTGGCGGAGTAGCTACGTTTGTAAACGTCGATCTACTTTTGCCTGTTTTAAGTTTTCAAATGACTTTATTGACTGTCTGAGTTTAAGGTGCCGTTGAAAACACCGGAATAAATACAAATATATTTATGTTACCAATATCTACATGACTCCAGACGGCACATCATCTGCGCTATCTGTCTTCGCTGATAAATTTACTGAATTCGCCGTTACTGCCTTCAATGATTCACTTTTTGATTGTATGTGGTGATTTCAATTCATGTGACTGTAGCTTCCTTACATCACTGGGTCACCTAAATGTAGTAGATTTTCCTACTCGTTTGAATGATCATCTAGACTTGGTTTTCATTAATGATGTGGGTACCTATGTGACTCGCAAACGTGCTCCATTGCCTAGCTCGGATCACTGTATAATTCGTGTTCTACCTAAAGTATATGATAAACACGGAAAGAGTACACACATACACCATACCAAAAAAGTAATATATAGGAATTACTCAGAAGAAAATTTACAAAATCTAAAAAACATGTTTCGTACGACCAACTGGGAATTATTTACAGATGACTCAATAGAAAACACAACGGATGTTGTCCCCTCTTATCTTAAATTCCGTTTTGATATTTGTTGTCCTACCGAAACCTACTTTTTAAGTTTTGATCGATTTACATCTCCACAACTAAAACGGCTACGGAGGGTAAAAGAAAGGATGTACAAGGAGAAAAATACTTTTGAAATTCGTAAGTTAAATGGTCAAATAAACCAAGAGATTAGAGGTCTCAACTCTGTGTTCACTCAGAATCTCCTATCTTGTAAAAGCTCTCCAAGTATGTGGAAACTCTTTAAAGAAATTACAGGGGACAGGCAGACTAGAAGCGATAACCAGCTGAATGCTTGTGACTTAAATAAGTCCTTTATACGTCAGTCATCTGACATCATGCTCTCTATATCCAAGGGTCTGAAGAATAATTGTGTTCCCAGTTTCACGGAAAATGAT